ACGTGGTGTCTTGGGGATCTCCGGTACAGGTGAATCTCTCGCAGGCGCTGGACCTGTTTGAGGTTGTCCCTCCTAACATTCTGGTCCGTTAAGAAACAAGGCAGCGTTGCTAAAAGAACCAGACGAACCGGCATGCACGGTTGCTGTGTCGTCAGGCCGCCAGACCACCACCCTCCGCACCCCATCAGCATTGTCCCTTTTGGTTAACTACTGCTCAGTTATCGGATACAGGAACTTACACATTTCGCAGCCAGCTTTTACTGATGTTCGCCCGACTTGTGGACGTCCGGAATAGCCAAGGGCCAGACTAGCTGACCGCCTCCTCTCTCGGTGCCATTCCGAGTTAACTACTTGGGTTGCCCTGAGTTATAGGGTATGTCAAGTCCATTTTGTCCAACTCCATAAGACAGCATGTACTGCACCTGTGTTAGGGCACTTCTTTGTGCACGAGATACGTTCTGGCGCCCCGGCAGTAGCAAGTTTCAAGCTTGCATGAAATCCTTCGTAGTCCCATTTCCAGGTCATTGCGCAGTACAGCGTATTGCCAAGGAAGTATCTTTGGGTACCTCTTAAACACGACAGTCGAAGGCCCAACAAACACTTCGCAGAAGATTACAGCCTCGACACAGCTCCTTACGACTTAGTGACTACTGAAAGATCGAAATCACAATTTACTTACAGTGTATCAGCCAAGTGAGGTCTAGCGTGTGGTCATCCCAGTCCCACTGGGGAATACCGTTGAAGAAGAGCGGGGTAAATAGCGCAAACGGAAGCTGTTTTAGACAAACCGAGGGTGCCAGAGCTTCAAAGCACAAGCTTGAGAGTGACCAGAAGCTCGTCTGCACCCATAACATCGACTAAAATACTAAGTTCTCTTCATGTGCGCTCTGCAGTCGCCACAGATCAATGATAACTGGGATACTGTGCCACAGAGGTCGCACACCAGCCACTAAACAGGTCTAGGAGTGAAGACGCCGTAGAGCAGGAGGCAAGGAGCTTGGCAGCTGCTATTGATGCGCTGACGATGGTCCTAGCAGACATTGGAGGCGCCCGACATTGGCTTCTGCGATAAAAGAGCCCGATCTCGTCCGAAATCGTGTTAGGCGAAGAGTCCAGTGCGGAATTACCCATCAGAGCCGCTCATTTTCCTGTCAAGCAGGGGAACACCGCTGGGCGGGATCAGTCTCGGTTCCCCCCATGCGGAAAGTCGGGTTCGGATGGTTTCGTCAAACAGTGGGGGCACAGCCGCTCCTTGCACTTAAGTTATGACGTCTTTCCCACATCGCAGCCCCGCCCTACTTGAAGACGTTACGGACAATATTCGGACATACGAAGGACATGGTCTGGCCAACAAAGATGATAGACAAGTAGATTGGATTGTTGGCAACACATAGCGTCAAAACCCCTCGCTATGAGGTTACACCCAATAATGCATTTGATGGCCGTATACAAGGTGTAAGACGTTCCCTTGCAACTGGAGGTTAGAAAAATCAGTCTTTTCAGAGGTATACTATATCTCGAGGGCATCAGCCGAAGATTGCCCCGTAAAAGGCGCAGAGAACCTGTCAAAAGGACAGGGGCTGGATGATGGCCGCGACGGGCTGATGAATACTTGAAGTGGAGGACTGTGTCGAATACCATAGTGGTAAGGAGGATATTCACGAATCATAGGTCTAGTAATTCATTTTAATCCGCTCCAGACCAAACCGATAGGCCATTGGCATGCAATTGTCAGCCGACCAGGCTACCAGGACCCTAAAGAACGGCCGTGGAATACGAAGAGCATGCCAATTTTGATTACAGGATTCGGGCGCGTATCATCAAAAATGACAAGCCGACAGATATGAACAAAAAGAGGGTTTAATTAAAACGAAGCTACGGAAAAAGTGGTCAACATATTGGAAAGGTAAACAGATAGAAAAAGACATCCAAAGTAAATCTAGACCTGAGTTAATTGGGGAGAATTGTGAAACGCGGTCTCCTGCACAACCTGAAAAACAAACAACAAAAGCTGAAAAACCTCGCACTAGATGAGAGATGGTGGAGAACATTATAACGAAGTACATACCAGAATCGAAGATCTACATTTTCTGAATGCGGTGTAATTGGTCGTCCAACTCTTTCTTAATGACCGGCGGGAGATCAGTACCAACTTGCTCGTTCAGGAAATGTATGGTCTCTTCGATATCCTCAAGCAGGTATTCCTTCGGTAACGCGAACATCGCGTCCCAATCTACGTTGAGGCCGGATAAGTTGAGGGATCCCACGGTCGGCAGATAGCCAAGGGCACTCTCCACAGCACAGTCTTCGTCGTCGCAACGACGAAGAGCCCAATCAATAACACGAATGTTTTCGCCGAAGCCGGGCCAGGCAAACCGTCCACACTTATCTAGACGGAACCAGTTAACGTGGAAGATTTTGGGCATCTTGCGACCGGGTTTCTCCATCGAGAGCCAGTGGTCGAGGTACTTGCCAAAATTGTAACCCATGAACGGCCGCATGGCCATTGGATCATGCATGACTTCGCGACCTGAAATGAGGTATAAACTTCATGCAAGCATATAACTTCCGAGGAAACGCCATTATAGGAAGTACCTGCTGACGCTTACATGTTGCGAATAAACGAGACATGCTAGTGCTTACCCTTGAATTCGGCTGCAGCAGTGGCCTCTGATTTTACTTGCGCACCGATCATAACACCGTGCGCCCAGCTGTAGGCCTGGTAAACGAGAGGAATGCCCTCAGGACGGCGACCGCCAAACATGAGGGCCGAGACGGGTACGCCCTTGGGGTCTTCCCAAAGCGGATGAATAATCGGGCACTGAGATGCCGGGCAGCAGAATCGGGAATTAGCGTGGGCCTTGGGCGTCTGGGTAGTTGCGCCCACTGTTGTCTTTTCACCGAGCCACGTGGTTATTTTCACATTCGGTCCATATTCCTCTTCAAGACCTTCCCAGAAGAAACGACCGTCGTCAGTCTCCGCGACGTTTGTGAAAATAGAGTTCTTCATGCATGACGCCATGGCATTAGGGTTGGTCTTGTGATTAGTGCCCGGTGCGACGCCAAAGAAACCATACTCTGGGTTTATGGCCCTAAGGACACCCTTTTAGAGTGAGGTTGAGAGAAGGCCAAAAAACATACCTCGTCATCAAAGCGCATCCATGCAATATCGTCACCAACGCATTGAATCTTCCATCCAGGCAGCGACGGTTTTAACATAGCCATGTTAGTCTTACCACAGGCACTAGGGAAGGCAGCACAAAGAAACTTTTCTTCGTGCATAGGATTGGTGACAGACATGACTAACATGTGCTCAGCTAACCATCCCTCATCATAGGCGATACAGCTGGCAATGCGAAGTGCAAAGCATTTCTTTCCGAGAAGGGAGTTTCCACCGTATCCACTTCCAAAACTGAGGATGAGACGTTGGTTAGGAATGTGAGCAATCATGGTCTTCTCGGGATTGCATGGCCAGTGGTTTATCACTCTCTCTAATTTTTAAATTACATGGTTAATAATGAACATGTACCTGTATGAGGTCGCGGCAATCCAACGGAGTGGACGCAACGCACAAATCCTTTCTGCTCTTCTATAAGCTTGAAAACTTGCAGAGACACGCGAGTCATGATACGCATGCACAGGACGACGTAATTACTATCCGTGAGCTGAACGCCGTACTTTGATAGGGGAGAGCCGATGGGACCCATGCTATACGGGATGACATACATCATTCGACCAGCCATGCAGCCGGGGAAACGCTCCTGGCTGCGCGCCTCCATATCCTCCGGGGAGATCCATTGACCCAGAGTCCCTTTGACACCCTCATGCACGTGCGGGACAGTATTGTATTTTTCATCGGTACAGATAAACGTCTTAGACTCAACTCGGGCAACATCCCTGGGATCGGTGCGGCAGATGTAATTATTTTCATATGCTGTGAGGCGGGATAAAGTTCCCCTTTCTAAAAGCTTCTGGGTAATGAGTTCAGCTTCTGCTCGGCCCCCATCGCAGATAAAAACGCCCCGTGGATTGCAAATCTCTATCTTTATCAGTGATAAATACGAACTCAGATCATACCCATTTGCCAACAAAACGCTGAACGTCCTGCGGAAGGTCTTGAAACTCGCCCTTTGCAATGGGGATATCACCGATGTGGGGAATTTGAATAGACTGAACCTTGGGGACGGGATAATCACGATCGACCCACATTCCGCTGCAAAAGCCAAACTGAAAAACGAGCGGTCAGGAGCACCAAGGTTCTATATATGTGAATGCTTATGTTGAAGGCCACGTCCTACAACAATGCTGCGTTAAAACACGGCCTTCATGTCATTGGCCAAAGGGCTAATGGATCGGGTCCTAGTGCCCAAATTTTTTGCCTGAACATTTAGGTTGCTTATAGTACCGTGCTTTCTAAAGGGTTTTCTTCCGACCAAACCAATCAAGTCACCGTAGAATTTAATAGGAATGTTTGTTAGAACATCCCGGAGTAGTCATTACTAATACTCTACTACAAAAGGTTTCGATAAGAAAGAATCCAACAAACAAATGTACCGAGTAGAGGCAAGCAGTTGTACATAGCAATAGCTAAATCATGGTACGATTGACGGAACCTCCTCTTGTCCACTACAGCAACCGGGCTTGAGATCACGCTTTTGTTGTTTTTATTTCTGATGATTTATTGTGGTCGGCGTCGAATTAAAACTTGTGGTAGGTTACAGAACTTCATGAGAAGCGGGACGAAATACAGAAAATCAAGCTTTTATGGAATCATCTGGCACCCAGCAATCACCGATACAACACAAACAATCCTTGCCTTCTCAAGCGAACGAATAGGAAAGAACCCCCAGTGTTCTTCCATTTTCGAACACCTTTGATGAACGTATCAAAGGCGGCAGAACACAATGTCTCCGATATTGCTGTAAGAGGGTTTAACTATTTGTCTATTATTGCGCATCTAGTTCTTATCGCTGATTGCCCTCCCCCGCTGGTCTCTATCTTCATTCTAGACCTCCTCCTCCTCCTCCTCCTCGGGCTATCTGTCATTAGGCCTATTTTTGTTCTAACCCTCTTAATATTTAGCTGTATGAAATCTGTAGCCCTACATCTTTTACATACGTATAACAGAATCCATGACCCATTCTCAAATTCCTGACTTTTACATTTTTATAGACGACTTTGATTTCTACCGTCAAGACCACTCAATTAGGCGTGGGGCGGCTGCCTTCTTCATCTTAGATCTTCCCTAAAGGATTCCTCTTATGACCTGAATGCCTCCTTATTATCGGGAGCCCTTCTGCTTTGCATATGTTATTGTCTAACCATAAAGAAAGGCGATTACTAGCCATATCTAGAATACACCAAACCCTTCAGCCTGTGATGAGGCTTAACTGTGTGAAATCTTTTAATAACTGCCTGAATCTGCATTTGATGTCAAAATAATCACTAGAGATTTCAGCCTTCTTCAAGTAGATTGGATTTCGAATATCTGTCCACCTAGATCCCAACCTATCCAAGACATCTTTAATTTTCTTAACTGATCTCAGTTTGTGCGCTTTCCACCAAGAGATAATTGCGTTTTAGATCCGATCTTCACGACGGATATTGTTCCTGTTTCCTTCGCTTACAAAAAAGGACCTTTCTGATGGTGACCACGTATTTATCTGTTGTTGCCTACCGATTGCCTCTTCAAAGAAGATCAGCACAGTTCGAGTCTATCTAAATTACGATTGCGTGGAAAGCCGTTCAATAAGTAACTATATTGGAGCATTGGGTTGGCTTACCTTTCTCTCCGGTCTCGAAAATGCTCCAAGCGTGACAAGCAGAAAAAATCGCTTGTTTTAAGTGATCCGGAGCCTGCCAAATCTGTTGTTTAAATCTTATCCATCGGCCCTCCTCTAAGCTTAGTCACGAAATTTTACCCTTGTTAAACGATAAAAAATCTTCCTCATCGACAAGGCGGAGTTGTTTACTTCACTCTTCTCAAAACACCTTATGATTGAGTCCGAGCCAGGCCATTTCATCCGTCCTCTTCTAAATGGAACATTTACTTTAATCCCTGTCTCCCCAGACCCGACCATGAAACACCTAAGTTGTTTGAAAAAAGCCCACTGCTTGTGAGCGGGTGGAATTCCAAGTTCGATTACTAAACAGGCATCCGACCTTCGCATACTGATAAGTCATTTATTGTCTCTTTATATTTCGGGCGAATTTATTCCTGAAAAACATGGAAGATGTCAACACTTATTCCTGCAATCAAGTCCGGATCTCGATTGTATGCAGGTAACCATCGAGGTGTGCACAAAAATTCTGTTTTAACAAAGTTTCCCGAAAGGATTACTTTAAATGAACGCCTTGATTTATGTGTACATAATGAGCTTCTGAGCTCTACTCAACACGTATATTTACCTGAAAGATCACATGGAGCTTGTCATTTATCCTTTCCTTATCTAATCACCCCTATTCACAATGAACAGGAGCCAGTGGTAATTATCGGTTTTGATCTTAGCAAGACCTCTGACCAGGTACCACACAGACGTCTTTTGGTTAAACTGGATACTCTCGACACCCGACCTCCTCTACTCGACTTCACCCGGTCCTACCTATCCAACCGCTTTAGCAAAGTTATGATTGGTAATAGTTACCGAACACATCAGTCGATCACGAGTGTCGTAATTCAAGGCACGGTTCCCGTGTCCGCTACTTTTCCCTCTTTACGTCAATGATATTTCGTCTGGAATCAGAAATTTGCAGTCGTTTATTTATGCCGATGATCTCAAGTGTGTTTGCTCATATTCTTAGTACACCACAAATGCTTGCGTTGAAAAGAATAGTGCCGATTTACTAAGCCTATGGAGATAGAGCTCAACATATCAGATGGAGGTTTCATTATCCAAGTGTAGTTTCATATCTTTTGGTCCCACTAGGTTTTTAGGTCTCATAATCATTCAGATAAAACCCACTCTCAGAATGTTTCAGCATAAAGGACCTGGGATTCAGTTGTACAAATAAGGTTGCATTATCCCCTCATGCAGATAGAATCTCTGTTAAAACTGCGCAGACATGAGCGTTCAAATCACAGAATATTTCCCTCCGGAAATGAAGTTAAAACTATCAAATCTTTGTCCTACCCGTCCCCGAGTTTTGCCGTCCATTATTTGGCTTAATAAACGTCTGCAACCGCAGAGTTTTTACTCATTTCAAGCTGAATGCGGTATTTCCTATACCGAGAAAGGTCAGTTGGGCAAAATTAAATTTTTATGGATAAGACGACTCGAAGCTGATCTTTGCTTCCTGTTGCGCATTAATTCTAGCTGTGATTTTCCGCGTATAGACTTTACCACCCCGGAAGCTCCGTTCTATACCACGCACAGTATCTCCTTGATAATTCCACTGCCACTTTGCTCTACATCGTTACGCCCCTCTATCTTGCATCCAAATATGCTTTCCTTTGAAATAATCTCTCACTAGAACATAGGTTTTCGCCTAAATTATTGGCATTCAGGTCGAAATTTCGTTAAAACCTTGCACCGGAAAACATAAAGACGCTATTGATTGTTTCATTATCGAACAGTCTATTTCTGAACTGGAAAACGGTCCTTCTGTGATTTACAAGTGGGTCTTACATATTTCATTTGTTTAAGTGTAAATTCCCACTTAGAATTTTACAACCTCCTTTATTCAATTGGCATCTAACCCCACTATTATTACTCTCGCTCTGTAGCGATGATTTTCGCGGTTTTTGATGTCATCTCCTTATTTCGACCCCAAACGGTATTTTGATGACCACGGTGGACTCATCTGTTCTCGCCATCTGCTAGTAGTTTGACACTCAGCAAAAATCTCATGGGCGCACCTCCAGCGCTTTGATGACTATGACAGCCCTTCATGTCCCCTCCACGGCCGGGCTCTAAGCAGACATTTGCTGATCGCGTTTGGATTTCTCTCGGCTCAACACCATGACGATTGCCTCTGTCATCAACGCAGAATATTATGATCGCATTTGCAGAGAAAACCTTTACCGGTTGGTGGATTCTACCCTGCGAATGTGCGATTCATACACTCATACCCTACCACCTACAGGACGGGAATGCTCGACCCGTACATGGCTTTCCATGAACAAAAATCCTTTCGCGCCACAGCCTGATCAGATCACATTCATTTCGAATTTTCGAATGTCTACCGACCATATTTCATATCAGACTGTTCAGTTTGTGAGCAAAAACTGAACGCGCTACAATGTCTGCCCACAAGCTGTAAAAATCGTTTGAAAATGTATTATTTTACTTCCAATGAAACTGCCCATGGGAGCACTGGATAAAGGCAGTAAAAGTCAGTTTATTAAGAGAATGAGGCTTTCGCCCTTGAGCTCCCTATTCATCTCGATAAACAGAAATAAAGTCATCAATTACATCAGCAAGTGTGGAAACTTAAAAAAGTTAGCGATTAGTGTGGGCCAGGCGCAAACTGCCACCGTTAAAACTATCGCTATTAAATGTACAGCAGTTTCTCAAAAAAGGAGCATCTAGTCTACACTTGAAGGAATCGACACTTTCGGAGAGAACCACTGCATCAGGGAGTCCGTTCCATGCCCCAATAACCCTGTGAGAGAAGGCGTTCCGTCGGACGTCCGAATGAGCCAGCTTCGTCTGCAGTTTAAAGGGATGACCACGCAGATGGGCAGTCCCGGCCGATTCAAAGAATTCATCAAAGTCTAGGGCGCACTCACGGCCTCTGACAATCCTGTAGGTTTGAATGATTGTCAGAGGCCGTGAGTGTGACCTAGACTTTGATGAATTCTTCTAATTGGCCGGGACTGACTGTCTGCGTCGTCATCCTTTCAAACTGTAGGGGAAGCTGGGTCATTCGGACGCCCGACGAAACGCCTTATTTGGAGCAACACGCGGTCTTGTAAAGGACCAGCGTATTGTAGGTGAGCTATCTGGTGTAGTCAATGCACTTCACTTCTCAGCTGTCCCTACCAACAATACGGACCAGAAAGAAGGAAGACTTGAATTACGAATATATGAGCCCAGGCAGGGCATTCGTCGCTCCACACACCCCGTAAAGAATCCTTTACTCAACTACAGCAGTACTTTCACTACAGAGGAGTTAAGCAAAACAGAATTGTTAAGTCTCGTTTTTGACAGTCGCTGTACCCTCGGACTAAAGCCCCTCTCCCCACTTCCTTGTGATCTGATCTCTTAACC